AATCAAAGTATAAAAGCAATCATACTACATTCTATTCAGTTTTCTTGGAAAATATTTTGTTTCATGACTGAACAACTGTATTTGAATTCATAAAGCAAATTTTTGAATTCCTTTTTGCAGAATGTTCTACCCTCAGTAATACATGGTCCTTCTTTTGTGCTAGGATTTTTGTTCAAAGATAGTACATGTTTTGTTTATTGATGTCTGCCAGCTTATGGACTAGCTGTCTGTAGCTGATGCAGACCTCTGTTTCAATAGTTTTATACTTAAACTTTAAGCTACAACAGTTCTGGATACTTTTCATGTTCCTCCTGGACTGACTGAGCAGTGCTGATCATCATTTGCTCACAGCAATTCAGTTTATAGAGGAATTGCTGCAGTTATGGTCAGTGTTGCCTCTATATTCGGTTCCCCAAACTTTTAGAGGTTTGGGCTTATGCACTTCCGCATTTCATGACTTTTGATCATGGTCTCTTCACAATTATGTGTTTCTTTTGGGGAATTTGGTGATTGAGATTCAGTGATTAAAATATTTAAACACCATAAAATGTACCAGTAAACTTGTGCGAAATTTTAATGTGATCAGAATTCTTGTATGGGGTTTAAAAGAAGTTCTAGACATGTTCACACATCATGTTTGTGTTAAACTTAGAGACTCTTTCCAAATCCATACAGCTCTGTAATTAGTATTTTTGTCTCGGCTAAGCAACACCACTCATTTCAGTTCCTGTTCCTCCCTCCTCTCCCCCCCCCCATTACATGAGGTACCTGATATAAAAATTTGATCTAGATAACAATGCACAATGTGTCTAAAAGCAGTTGGTGATGGCATTTCAAGTCGAATCTTCTATTAAGAGTCTTCCTTGTGAAGAAAACTATTTCTCTCTTCTACCTTTGGCAGAGGGATGTTACCTAGTACAAACAAAAATTGGCAGGAATAAAATACTTTTGACAGTTTTGGTATTTTCTATTAGAAATAAAAATTGATGGTCATATTATCCGATATATCATTCAGCTACCAAATATATTATTTGATGAAGGAAAAAGGACTCGTTTCCAAAGAAACAAGTTTCAACTGTGCTCTTAATTGTAAAAATGAACTTCAAGGGCAACCCCTTACAAATTTTAAACGGAAAATGTCAACTTTCAAGGATGTTCATCGCACAGTTCTTTGTGTTGCTTCAAACACACTACTGACCAAATTATACTCTGCAAAATAACTGAAATTAAGAACATGTAATATTGAATTCAATAATTTAGGCAGGTTCCAAAAATCCAGAAAGGTATTTCTTAGCAGAGATACAATATACCCACCATTACTGCCTCCTATATAATGAAATTAGATGCTGAGTTCTCTTCTGCATTCCACATTGTGAACGAAGCGTTTAAAATTCCACAACATGGATTTCCCTGCACGCGCCCTGCAAAATGTTACCTGGTGGAGCTATGAAATATCCTTCAACTGTCTTGGCAGCCTTCTTCAGGAGTTCCTCTGCGCAATTCCCTTCCGAGACATCATCTTCCCTGAGGTAGAGATGCCTGAGGAACACAAAATCGTTCGCCATCAGCCTGCCAGGAAGCTTAGAAACAGGGCAGCTCTCTGCAATGTTTTCCCCTTCAAGGCCAGGAGAAATTACGCAGATTGCCAAGCCTAGCAGGAGCCCTGGGCGCAAGGCGGCCCCGCTTTTCACCAGAATGGGGAAGGATTCAGCAGGAGCAACAGCCTTGCTTCGCCGGCCTTTTGCCTGCAAAAAGCATATAAGGAACGGCTGCTGGAATTGGGTATGTCTAGTTTAATGAAGAGAAGGACGAGGGGGGACAGGATAGCAGTCTTCCAATATCTCAGGGGCTGCCCCAAAGAAGAGGGAGTCAAGCTCTTCTCCAAAGCGCCTGAAGGCAGGACAAGAAACAATGGATGGAAACTACTCAAGGAGAGAAGCAACCTAATGAAGAGAAGGATGAGGAGGGGGGGACATAATAGCAGTGTTCCAATATCTCAGGGGCTGCCACAAAGAGGAGGGTGTCTAGCTATTTTCCAAGGCGCCTGAAGGCAGGACAAGAAGCAACAGATGGAAACTAATCAAGGAGAGAAGCAACCTAGAACTAAGGAGAAACTTCCTGACAGTGAGAACAATTAACCAGTGGAACAACCTGCCTCCAGAAGTGGTGAATGCTCCAACACTGGAAGTTTTAAAGAAGAGACTGGACAGCCATTTGTCCGAAATGGTGTAGGGTTTCCTGCCTGAGCAGGGGGCTGGACTAGATGACCTCCAAGGTCCCTTCCAACTTTATTATTATTAAAACTGTCAGCTGCTTCTGAAGGGGCGATGATTAACAGAACTAAAATCCGCCTGGCTGTCCCGGTGTTGGGGGATCCTGAAAGTCGGAAACGGCCGGCGGGGGGGGGAGGGCTCCTGATAGTCACCTGTCTTCCAGCACCGACTCCATGGGTTCGACTCCATCGGTATTCACGGCTTGAAGCTGCTCGGCAAATGCCACCGCGCTCTCCAAACGGCGGACGCCCTCCCAGTTGCGGAAGTCCACCAGCGCCAGCCGCTCCAGATGATCCAACAACTCCAAAGTAATTTGGGTCTGCTGGACACACAATTTTTTTCTTCTTCAAATGAATGGCGCAAAGAAATCCCGGCAAGCTACCGCGCGGCCCTTTGGACCACTAGTGCAGGGGTAGGCAACCTCGGCTCTTTTATGACTCGTGGACTTCAACTCCCAGAATTCCCGAGCCAGCTATGCTGGCTCGGGAATTCTGGGAGTTGAAGTCCACGAGTCATAAAAGAGCCGAGGTTGCCTACCCCTGCACTAGGCGCTTAGAAACGGGACAGAGAGGAATTCGGGGGGGACAATGGGACGCTTTTTCCAGGAGAGCCCCCGAGGAAAACGGAGAAT